ATAGTCTACAGATCTGCAATTCTGTCTGCTACAGGTTGTGGTGGTTCCTATCCCTCCTGGAGTGCAAGAGTTCAATTCTTTTTGCATGTGCAAGCCGCTTTTCCTTATCTAAGTCCGTTCTTAGGACTGCTTGTAACATTTACTTGTTCCCTCATTAACAATGAGCTAAGTAAAATCTTTGGCACATGCTCATTTTCTATCTGTATGACAGCCATGAATTTATTTTCTTTTGAAAGGCATCTTTTAATATTGCTGCTACTTCTTTATCAAAGCAGTGGATTTCTGTGGAAGACAGACAACTTGCCTGAATCTCCCTCTCAGGGTCAGATGGAGTTGGACAGCATTAGCGTTAATATCTTGTCCTTGGGTAGACAGAAAAGCTCCCTAGGAGTCCGGCTTCAGGTCTTGTGCCAACAACCTGCGGTGACAAAGAGGAAAGCACTTCTCTCAGAGAAATGGGCTCATAAGGAACCTCTGGACCCCCGGGGCAGCCTCCCAGGGCTACATGTCTTCCCCAAATCCCCTCCTGTGCAAGAACACCCTTCCTTCCTGGGGTGGCGCCCTGGCTGGAACCTAGAGACTAGATCTATGGGGTCTCTTGAGATCCCCGAGGTGCCGCGGGGCCTCTGGAGGGGAAGAGTGTTTTGGAGCCAGAAAGCCCCAAGCCGCCCAGGAATTTTGGCTCAGACTTGGAGCATTTCCTCCTGGGCCGGCCTGGCGCTATCCTTGGGAGGGCGGCCTCCAGCAAACTGGGCGCTGAGATTTGCTAGGCCAGCACCATGGGGCTCCTGCTCTGCGCACAGGCTGGGCTCGCCCTGCTCTGCGCCGCGGGCGCCTTGGCGGGTGAGTGGGACCCGGGGCGCGGACAGGGAACCCAGGGAGACCGCGGATGGCAAGATAGGAATGATAGACAGAGGCAAAGAAAGAGGCGGATAGAGGGAAAGAGGGATAAAGATGGAGAGAGAGGAGACAGAGAGAGGAGATAGAGATTGAGAGATAGAGATAGATGCTGAAAGGGAGAGACAGCGGTGAGAAAATAGAAAGAGGTAGAGAAGGGCGGAGAAATGAAGATAAGAACAAGTGCTAAAGGAGAGGGGGAGCCTAAAAAGAGAAGGAAAGGCTGAGACAGAAAGAGGCTTTGGAGATAAATGGATATGAAGGAGGATAGAAAGAAAAAGGAGTCTGAAAAACAAACAAACAAAAGAACAAGAAGAAAAGAAAAAGAGGAACTGAATGGGCAAGAAGAAAGGCAAAGAGAAAGTTTTAGAGACCAAAGGGGACAAGAGCTAAGAAAGCCCATGCCAGCGGCCCAGTAGGAGAGAGAAGAAGGATGGGGATGGAGGTCAACGCTTCTTGGTGGGGAAGCCCTGGAAGCCAGCTCCACCCCCAAGGCCTGCGGGGGCGGCCAGATCTGGCTTCAGGGGGCACTGCTTTGGCAGCTGAGCTCCACAGCATGAATGACCAGGCAAGGCCCAGATTCAAATGCCAGGTGGCCCGAGGGGGTTCTGCAGGCAAGTGGAGGCCAGCCTCCAGGGTTCCAGTTTCCTTGAGGGTCCAAGCTACCGTGGATGGAGAGTGGAAGTGGAGGGGGAGGGGGCTTACAGGAGGGAGAGGCCATCTGGATTTCTACCTTGCACTGTCCCCTTTACCCACTGACTCCTGCAGTCTTATGCTGCCCCTTCCCAGGCGAAACAGTGAAGAGACAGGGTGACTCGTGGCAAGGCATATATTGTCCTACAACCCAGGACTGTACAAAGAGACACGTCCCTCCACACCAAGACTCTGCTTATTGTACAGCACTTTACAGTTCACAGCCAGATTCCCATTTACTCAGGGAACAGTTGCTGCTCATCCCAGTTGTCCCTATGAGGAGAAAGCTCATTTCTCATGGATGCAAGAAAGAGCCCTGTCCAGGCATCCAGCACTGCAGCCCCCTCAGGCAGGCTGTTGAACCCACCCATGCAGAAGTGCCCTGTTGACATAGAAGTATAGGAGTGGCTTTCGGGGACCAGTGTACTGACTGAGTACTCAGGGAAAGGACTCAGGCAGTCCTGATCCTTGGGAACTTCCACCTTGGGTAAGTCACTTTACACATCTGAGGCTGTTTCCTCCTCTGTAAATTGAAGAGAAGCAAGTCATCCCCCAAGCTGGCTTCAGGGATAGGATGAGAGGAGGTGCCCACCAGGAAGCACACATCCAATCTAGCTCTCACACAACCAGATCACTCCCAGCCTCAGTTTCCTCACCTGGTAAAGATAATCAACTGCTTCTGTTAAGCTGGTTGAAGAAGGGTGGAAATTCTGCCCAGCATCGAGCTCTATCCATACTGCATGACCTCCCCATCACCTCCCTGGGCAAGGGGCCCTCCTCCCACTCAGCCCAGGCTCCCACAGCTAAAGGCACAAAGCCTTTCTGTGCTTCTCTGAGGGAGGAGCCAGCTCCGCCCCAAAGTGATTTTTTGTGGCTCATTTAACCACAATTGATATATACATTTTAAATTCGTTTTTAAGCATTATTTTTCCTTCTGATTATGCACACTCATTGCTACAGAGGAAAAGAAGAAAGTATAAATAATTTAATGTACTTTTTCACATTTTAATTTATAACCTTTCAGATTTCAGACAATATCCCACTGTTTTCCTTAGCATTTTAAAAAATATAATTTTTTTATTTTTATTTGATGCATAGAAATTATATATATTTCTGGGGTACAGAGTTTTCCTTAATTTTTTGATGATGTGAACATTAGGCCACAAACTATACAAAATAATAGTACATAAACATAGAATATTGTGTAACATATCTAGAAACCTGCCTTAAGTACTAATTCATGGCCAATCTTGTTTTATCTATGAGTCTACATCCTCTCTCCTGCCTGGATTATTTAAAAGTAATTCCAGGCATCCTGTATTTTCATCTATAAATATAAAGATCTATAAATATTTCCTTGTGTATATCTAAAAGATAAAAAATTTGTTTTTCGTTTTTTGGGTCCTGGGCATTAAACCCAGGAGTGATTAACTACTAGCCACATCCCAGCCCTTCTTTATATTTTATTTAGAGACATGGTCTCACTAAGTTACTGAGGCTGGCTTTGAACTCACAATCCTCCTGCCTCAGTCTCCTGCTTCAGCCTCCCAAGCTGCTGGGATTATAGGTGTGTACCACCACACCTATCGAAGAAAAATAATTCTTAAGTAAACATAACTGCAATTATCATACTCCCCAGAATGAACAATCCCTTTCTAGCGAATATTCGCTCTGTTCAAATGTCCTTAATTGGGTATATGTGTTTATATATCATTCATTCATTCCAGGTAAGGTGATATACATTTCATTTGGTTGATATGCTTGCTAAATCTCTTCAAATATGTAGGGTCTCTGTCTCTCCCTATTTTTTTTCTTAAAATTTCTTTATTGAAAAACTAAGTTTGTCCTGTGAAGTTTTTCATATTTATTTGGTGCTATTTGTATCACATTGATATCATTTATTTGTTCCTCTACCTCTCCTATTTTTTATAAAAGATTCCTAAATCTAGAATCTTTATCTAATTCCAGGTAGAATTTTTCTTTGCAATAATACTTTATAGGTAGTCTTTATGATTTTAATTTGAATTTATTCGATTACTGGTGAGGTTGGACTTTTTCTTCAAAGGTGTATTGGTCATTGGTACAGATTTTTATAAACTACTTTACACTTTCTCAATTGTGGCAGTGAGGTTTTTCATAGTAACCTATTAAAGCTTTTTTATATATTGAGTGAAGTGAACTGCTTTGTGTTACCTGTAGAGAACTTCTCTTAAGGTAAAGCTTCAGCTGAGCTCCTTTTTGCTGTCAGAGGAATCCCAAATCAATTCTAGTCTTCTTCATTAATATTACCATTCTCACTCACCCGTTGGGGCTTGAACTGTCACTGTCTACCACCTTCCCTGTGTCTATGGATATCTGTCTGCCATTGAGATTCTGCTTTTGCTTTGGATCAAAACGGAAGATGCTAGAGGTTTTTGGTGAGGATCCTATGATATCTGTCTATCCCCTCATTTTACAAAGGAGGCAGCAGAAGCCCAGAGATGGGAGACCCTTAACCTACACAAAGTCACACTACTGCTAGGGGACAGTATAGACAGTATCAGGCAGTGAGACTCAAATTCTCTTGCCGCCACCTAACAGCTATGCAGTCTTCAGCATGTCACTCAACCTTTTTTATCCTTGGTTGTTTGGTCTGTAAAAAATTAAAATAATTAAAAAGACCTCAAGATATATGTAAATGAGATGATGCAATAAGCACATAACAAAAAGGCTTGGCACATAACAAGCCATCCCAAATCAATAGTCACTTGGAATGTAGAGTGTTGTTATGCCCATTTAAAAAGCAAAGAAAGCTAAGGTCCAGCAAGTGGGACTGGCTTGGAGCAGAGCATCCCAGCGCCCCTTGGACCCTTGCACCCTCTGACCCCTGCATGGGTTTAGCCTTAGAACAGATGCCTCTCCATCTTGAGTCCTGGTCAGAGTGATCTGGAAAGAATGCTTGCCTCCACACAGAGAGCTGTGTCCTGGTTGACTTCCTGACCTCCCTGTTCCATGCCTTCCTCTCCCTGAGTCACAGATTCCTCACCTAGAAAGGCCTTAGAGGGCTGGGTGACAGGCAGAGAGCACACCGTGAGAAGGCAGTGTCTTCAACAGCCAGCCCTGTGTTCTTTCCCACAGCACACAGAAAGAGGTTTGTCCTGGATGGGTTTTGAGCCTTCTCAGAATCCTGGGGTTTGGGGATGTGTTTAACATGGTAAATCGGTGGTTTAAAAAACACAGTGTATCGAGATAGAAGTAATCTAGCTTCCTATCCAACTTGGAGAGCAGAGTTGCCAGCCAGCCAGCAGCCAGTCCAGCTCTGAATCAAAACACAAAAGAAATAAACATGGGTGTAATGGAAAGGGGCTCTTGTTACAGCAGCTTACTTTGTTACTTTGCTTTCTAAAAGTAAAGTACTAACTTAACCCAAAGAATGCATCAAAATGACACTGGTACACTCACAGTGATCCACAGGGCTCCCATCCAGATCCAGAAAATGTCCAGAGGACAAGGAAACTAGGACACATCCCTTCTTAAACAAAACAAACCAAACAAAACAAAAATCTGCACTCTCAGGATCTTCACTCTCTCTTTCAGGGCTGGAGGGTCCCTCTCCTGCTTCAGCCAGAGCAGCTCCACAGACTGGAAGTCCTCACACACTCACTTCAAAGTAGCGTTCTTCTGCTTTATGTATTTATTTTTCTGCTTCTTAAAAAAAAAAAAGCCACTGATTATTTTGAATGAATCACAAATATTTACACAAGTATTAGATGTGGAAAAAGTTATCATTCTATTATGTTGGAGTGTGATCAAGTATAATTAACCCCCCAGTGACCAATGCTGATGGTAAAAATAGGATGTGACATTGATGATCTGGAAGGCGACTGTTAGACTCACTACTGAGAAAATGGTCATCACCCAGCACAAGAAATCACTTTAGCTGTGGGTGCTTCCTTACTCTCTGAATGCCAGATCCCAAAGGTCTCCCTTCCTCTGTAAGTGGGAAGGGGTCATACTTTCTATCCCAGAGGACAGGTCCTGTGGTCAGGTCTCTAACTGGGCCAACCCAGCGCTTCCCCTGGGCTTCTGGACTCCCTCTGGCAGTGCAGGATGCTTCTCCACCCATGGCCACTGGCCAGGGTGCACATCAGGCCTTGAGCAGAAGCTGAGCCAGAGAAAACAACCCAACATCCAAGGAGGTCCATTTCCCAACTGGTGGGGTCAGGAGAGCGGAAGGAAGGCAGGGACACTGGCGAGCCACAGTTTGGGCTCTGAAAGCTATGCCATGATAATCCTTCAGCCTTTCCCTCCCCTGACAGCCCGATGTGGGGGGTAAGGCAGAGAAAGAGAGAAATGGAAGGCACACAATTTTTGCCTTGTTGGAGTTTCTGCTCCAAGAAGTAACTTTTCCTTTGGAGATCACTTTTAAGGCCTCTTAGCAAGCCCCGAAAGGCAGAGAAGCATCTTGGATGAGCTACATCTGGAGGCCTCGGGTTAACCCCAGCCCAATTTACACAAGAGGCTGCGGAGGCTCAGGAGGACAAAAGAAGTTTCTCGTAGTCCGGGATAACTAGTGGCTGAGCCAGGCTGAGGATGGGTCTGCAAGGTGTTCTTGGCCAAAATGCATTCAGACCAAAGCAACGAGCAGCCCCCAGTGTGGGGCTGTCTGGGCAGGGAGGTTGTCAAGGCCCGCTCCAAGTTTTCTCTTTCACAGGGAGTCCCCCAGAGACCCGGATGAGCTCATGGACAGTTATGCAGTGGTGCACAGATCCCGGCTCTGTCCAGATGTGAGGGATTAGTGCTGAGCTGTGTGGAGAATGACCTCAGCCCAGTCTCTTCCCCAGGGAGATGCTGGAGCCAAGTCAGACCTCATCGCAGGCACGTAGGGAACAGGGAGCTTGAGGCCAGTGGAGGGGAGCAGTTGCATGTTGTTTGAGCATCCACAGCTGGCTCATCCGCTGTCTGCTGCCAGGGTTGCATTGCTTCCTCTCTGCATGAGCTCTGAGAAGGGTGGGAGGAGAGGAGGCAGGTAATACCCAGGGAAATGACTTCATCAAAGGTCCTCAGGTATGTGTGCTCACAGACTCACACCAGAACAGTCCCCTCTTCCTGAGACAGCCTACACTGTGGGCAAAAGCTTCTCACTCTGCAAAGTCTTTCCTCTCCAGGCTGAGCACCCTAGTTTAAGCTAAGGCAAATGAGACCAGGGTCACCTCCTGACCTTCCCCTACCTCTTAAAGGCTTTCTTACAATGCCAGCCCTTCCGGTGGGGTCTCCCACACAATCCTCCCTCTGCATTCGATCCATGACAGTTTCTACTTTTTGCTAACAACTCCATCAGACAACTGGCTTATTTTATGAAAAATGTCAAACCATATACTCAAATGTAGAGGGAATAGTGGAATGCACCCCCATGTGACCGTCACCCATCTCTATCAATGGTCAACCCTTGGCTGATTTGGTTTGCTCTAAAGGCCTGTTCATGCCTCTCCTTCATCCCCATGCCAAGCCTGGGGTATTTTGAAGTAAATCCAATATATCATAGCATTTCAGCTGTACATATTTTAGTCTGGGTTTCTAAAAGACTCGTTTTTATAAAAGTAGCCAACATGCCAGGATACCAGCCTCCTCCCTCCCCAAATTCAACAATACCACCATTGTCTTTTGAGGAGGGCTTTCTCAGTCCAATAGAAGAAAATAACAAAAAGGAGAATTTGAAAAGCGAATCATTCTCTGCAAGAGGTGCTGTATTAGTCAATTTGCCGTCACTATAATGAAACACCTCAGGTGATTGACTCACAAAGAGAAAAGCTTTGTTTTGGCTCAGAGTTTTGGAGGTTCCAGTCTATGCTTGCTTGGCCCCATTGCTCTGGGCCTAGGGGGAAGGCAACGCATCATGCTGGAGGCCTATGACAAAGCAGACCACTCATCTCATCAGTCAGAAAGAAGAGGAGTAAGAGACAGAGATCCCACAAAGTCCTTTGAGGGTACACCCCCAATGACCTCAGGCGCTCCCAGGAGGCCCCACTGCCTGAAGGGCCACAGTGCTTCCCAATAGCAGCATCCTGGGGACTAACCATTTACACATGGGCCTTTGGGGACACTTGGGACCCAAACTACAGCAATGGGTGCTGCTGGAGCTGCCCATTGGTGCTGACTCCCACACAGCCTCCCTCTCCGCCTCTCCTCCAAACTGCTCTTTATTCAAGTTCCCTGTTCAATGCTGCACGAATGAGCTGATTCTCAATGTTTAAAACAGCATTTTCTGATTTCCTCCTATTCTCGCCATGGCTACCATTGTAATGGCTGCTTTTAACAACCCAGACACAGAATTCCTAAAAAGTCAACAAGTCAGTTGGCCATGATGTTCAGCAGACAGTCCCATCTTATTTCGCAGTTAGAGGTCTTCAGGTGGGTATCCCCCGACCAATTTTTTGGCCATTTAAACAGTTCACCTGGACCTATTCCTGCTGCGATCCTTTTGTCCTTCTCTGATGGTGGTCTGTCTCCCTTCTGGATCCCATGGCCTCCCATTTGCAGGAAATACACTCCTTTAGTTCTGTTTCCCTCCTGTCTCTCTGGCTACAAGCATGGCTGTGTTTCTCCAGTGCTTAAGCAAACAGAAACGACAACAGGAAACACTTTTCGAGGCTTGGTGATCTGATCTGCCTTCCCTCTTGCCCAAGCCTCATGAAAAGGGTTCCCGGGACCTGGCCCATCTCATCCCTCTGCCTCGCCTGCACCACTCTGGCAGAAGTGTGGGGTGGCACTGGGCAGGACCTTCTGTTGCTGTCCTTCTGTGCTCTTCAGGTTAGCCCTCCCTGCTGCCTTACACCATGCTGTCCTTGTCACCTTCTGTAGAATCTGTTAAAGCTCTTCACTTCTCCTGACCTCTGGGACAGCACCCTGAGTGGCAGCATTCTTCCAGGTGCCCCGCAGGCAGCTCAGAGTCACCACCTCCAAACCCTGAGCGCAGAACCAGGGCTCTGAAACTTCGGGTGTGAGGGTTGGTGGTGCCAGGAGAACAAGGTTGGGGAGGAAACTGGTGAATCGAAGTTGAGAAGGTTGAATCTCAGGTCTTCTCTTCCCAGCAGTGGCTCTTCAGCCTTCTTTGCATCAATTTCCCTATTTGTAAGTTGGGCGTCTTAGCAGGCTGTTGGAAGGGGAAGTTAACATGTTGAATTAACACATTGCTTGGCACACTGCTTGGTAACACTCGTCAAATGCCAGCTATGATTAACTGGTGCCCAATGTCAATGCTACTATTAAAACACCTCCTTCCTCTCTCCTTCCTTCCCTCCCTCCCTCCCTCCCTTCCTTGTTACTGGGGATTGAACTCAGGGGTGCTTCACTGCTGAGCCACATCATCCCCAAAACTTTATATTTATGTATTTATTTTTGACACAGGGTCTCACTAAGTTGCAGAGGGTCTTACTAAATTGCCTAGGCTGGCCTCAAACCGGCAATCCTCCTGCCTCAGTCTCCCAAGTTGCTGGGATTACAGGCATGCACCACCACATCCAGCTTTCCCCGTGCATTTTCTTTCCCTCTATTCTTTTTGCTACTGTGTTCATCACTCCTTACTCTGATTACCTCCTGCCTCCAAAGAACTACCCTTCCAATCTGTTATCTGTATTTAAAATACTCGACTGTTAAAATAAAGCTCCGAACATTGTAATTGGTTTTCTTTTTAATATTTTTTTTGTCAAAGGACCTTTTTTTCCTTTTTTTTTAATGTCGTGCTGAGAATCTAACCCAGTGCCTCACACATGCTAGGCAAGCTTTCTACCACTGAGCCACAACCCCAGCCCTGTAATTGTTTGTTTATTTATTTACTTACTTACTTACATACATATTTATTTATTTTTAAAGCCTTAGGATAAAGATCTACCCTTTGGCTTTGTTTCCAAGATCCCTCTGCCCCATCTCCTCTCCCACCCTCTGTTCTCTGGTCACTCCAAATCCCTGGAGGTTGTGTCCTGTGGAGCCTGTTATTTCATGCCTCTCTCTGGCTAAAATCTGTTCTTTCCTGACTTTTCCCAGGCCGGGCACTGCATCCTCATGAAGCCCACTTGGGTCTGTAGGTGAAGGCAGCTGCAGAGACAAGTGGTGATAGGGTGGTGGCAACCTGCACACTAGCTCACACCTGAGCATTTCTCTGCTCATCCTTGGGGGCTTTCAAGACCCACCTCACTCCAAGTCTGGAGTCTCTGTGCTGCAGGGAAACCGAGGGTTCCACTGACAAGACTTGTTTTTCCACAGCCGCTGAGCCCCTCAGCCCCTCCCAAGGAGACCCTGCTTGGAGCACAGGCTGTGACAGATACATGGCTGTCCAAGACCGTTTAGACGTGATGGAAGAGGTAATAAAGGTGTTGAGGTGGGGGACATGAAGCATAAAGACCACTTCCCTGCCAGGCTGGTGGCACAGACACAACCTTATCTTGGAATGGCAGGAAATCAGTTCAATCCTGTCCCTTAATCACCTCGTTGACTGTCCCCCTGCCCTAACTGGGGCAGCTGGTTCAGGTGACCAGCTGAATGCAGAATAAAGGAAAGTAGAAATCTGGTCCCTGTGTTTTGTGATGCCGCCATGGCTCATGACCTGGGATTCATAAGCTTATGTGGGGGAAATTTTACATCTTTATTGTCGCAGACCTTTAATTGAGATTTTGTGTTCCTATTCACAGTAGAACTATATGGTAACTTTGTCCTCAACAGAAATCACAAATAACTTCATGCCATTATAGTCATTGGGAATATCTCAACATGTGCCAGGTGCAGAGACACACATCTGTAATCCTAGCGACTTGTGAGGGTAAGGCAGGAAGATTACCAAGTTTGAGATCAGCCTTTAGCAAGACTCTGTTGCAAAATAAAAAGTAAAAACAGCTGGGGATATAATTCATCTCAGTTGTAAAGTACCCCTGGGTTCAATCCCTAGTATAGAAAAAAAAGGAATATCACAAGTCATTTACACTCCTTATTGTGTTAGGATAGCATTAATTGTTATGCTAGATTTTAGATCATTTTGTGGGTTAAATAAGTACATATATTTTATATCAAAATTTTTAACATTTGAATAATATTTAATAAAGTTTATTTCCTTGTTAACACTACAGCATTTTCTTTTTTACATTTAAAGCATTTTTCTGAAAAGTTCTGTAGGTTTCATCAGACTGCCAACAGGGCCAATGACAAAAAAGTTAAGAATCCTGAATAAAGAAAAATTTAAAATCCCGAACCTGTTATTTGGCAGCTGTGCCACCAGGGGGCGCTACAATAAAAGGAATTTGAACTCTGGCTGCCAAGTTCTAAAGCAGAAAGCGGGTGCTTCTGCCAAGCTTGGGACGGAGGCAGCTGAGTGAAGACCGGGAGGGGCCTTAGAGGGCAAGCCGCCTGGGACATTGTCATGTGGGGAAACAGGGAGGTGGAAGCACAGCCCGAATGAGCATCCGGTTCTCTCCCCGCTGGACCCAGTGGTCCTTGGAGCGTGGCAGACTAAGTAGAAGTTGCCCCACTCTTGCCCCTAACTTCGCCCCCCTCTCCCTCTCTAGACGGCGGAGAAGGTGGTGGAGCACCTGGAGGCAGAAGTGAAAGGCCTCCTGGGCCTGCTGGAGGAGCTGGCCTGGAACCTGCCGCCGGGGCCCTTCAGCCCCGCCCCAGACCTCCTCGGAGACGGTGAGCAGCGGGGGAGGCTGGGGAGGCTGGGGACGCTGGGGAGGCTGGGGAGGCTGGGGAGGCAGCCCCTGGGCCTCGGTGCGCGGTGTCTGGGAAAGCACCGAGAGAGGTGGCTGCTCCACCGCAGGAGTGCAGCCTGGACCAGCAGGGAGACCCTCCGCCGCTCCGAAGGGACAGCTCGCGCCACCGCGGGCACCGCTGCAGCCGAGCGTTGATTCGAGGTGTACTCACTACCCCGACCTGGAGAGCGTCTCCCTCCGACGCAGGCCTTGGGCACGCCTCAGAGATCCCCCGTCCTCTTTCATCTCCTTCCCAGCATCCACTCTTGTTCCATCCCAAATCCCCGCCAGGGAAGACCTGCACGTCACTGATGGGGCCATGGTGGGATTGTCGCCTGCTTCCTTCTTGAGCCTGTGTGTCCAGGGGACTGAGGAGGAAATGGGGGAGTAAACTGCTGACATTGTGAGGATGAGGGGACCATTCAGTACCCCCTGCAGCTCACTCTGGGGTCACGCCTTTCTTTCAGATCACTTCTGAGCCGCAAAGGTGGAGGAGGAGCTGAGCAGCTGGAGGTGGGACCTCGTGGAGGGCAACTCAGACCAGAGCCCGTCTTCTCGCCCTCCTTTCCCTACCTTTGTGTGAAATAAAACAACTCCTTTGATGCCCTCTGTGTATGTGGACAGTGACACCTGCAGCCACAGTCCCTTCTCCCTTTTCTTCCATGCTCTGAGGCTCTGGTTTCCCCTCTAGGCACCCTGCACCTGTACTTGGACCCTCCTTATTTATAGGGACAGACTGAGCAGGAGTGGTACCCAGAGGTGAGACTCCTGAGGCCCAGAATCATAACAGGGACACAGCAGAAGGGCCCTGTAAGTAGCCTTGCTACTCAAACTTAGGCCCCAGAAAAACAGCAACAGCACCACCCCGGAGCTCCTCAGAAATGCAGGATTTTAGCAGAGTTCAGTGGCACACACCTGCGCTCCCAGATGCACAGGAAGCTGTGGCAAGAAGATCACAAGTTTGAGGCCATCCTAAGCAACTTAGTGCGACCCTGACTCAAAGGGCTGGGGATGGTTCAGTGCTTGCCTAGTGTGTGGCCAGGCCCGGTTCCCATCTCCAGTACACACACAAACACACTCAAGAAATGCAGGCTCTTGGACCCATCCAGATCTCCTGAATTAGAATCTGCATCTTAATGAGATTCCCCAGGGGATTTCTGTGTTCACTGAAGACACCCCGCTCCCACCACCTTGGTGCTGGGGATGAAACTCACCACCACCAAGTTCTGGCTCTAGCACTGAGCCTTACCTCCAGCCCTTTTAAAATGTTTTTTCCTATTAAAATAAAATTTACATAAAATTCACCATTTTAACCAGTTTAAACTACAAATTCAGCTGCTTTCAGCATATCCACAATGTTATACAATCAATTCCATCTAATTCCACAACACTTTCATTGTATCCTGCAATTACTAGGCAGTTACTTCCCATTCCCTCTCCCACCAGTCCCTTAAAGACCTCTAACCTTTCTCTCTATGGACTTCTCTCTCTCTGAATATTTTATATAAACGAATCATACAATAAGTGGCCCTTTGTATCTGGCTTCTTTCCCTGAGCATGTTTTTAAGTTGTACACCTATCAGTACATTCCTTTTCATGGTTGAATGATGTTCCATTGAATGGATGTACCTCATTTTATTCATCCAAGCATTAATAAATGGACATTTGGGGTTGTTTTCACTTACAGGAAAATATGAATAATGCTATAATTTATTCACTTATTTATTTACTAGTTTTTGTGTAGATATGTTCTCGTTTTCTTGAGTATGTGCATAGAAACAAAACTGCTGAACCAAATGGTAACTGTTCAACTTTTTGAAGAACTGCCAGTTTCGCACAACAGCTGTGCTATTTTCCAACCCCACCAGCAACATTAGCTGCGGACATTTCGTGGACTCCTTCTATCAGATTGAGACATTTCCCTTCTGTTGCTTGTGTGCTTTTTTTTTTTTTTTTAAATCACAAAAGGGGTGTTGGTTTTTTTCAAATGCTTTTTCTGCATCAAATGAGAAGATCAAGTGGGGTGTTATCCTTTCGTTTTATTCATAATACATTAAATTGATTAATCTTTGTATACTGAATGAGCCTTGCATTCCCGGGTTAATCCCACTTTGGCAAGGTGTACAGTCCTTATATATGCTAGTGGATTTTCTTGAGGACTTTTGTACCTGTAAGAGATATTAGTCTGTGGTTTTCTTGTCATGTCTTTGTGTGGCTTTGGTACTAAGGTCATACAAGTCTCATAGGATGGATTAAGAAAGAAGTGGTTTTTTTTTTTTTTTTTTTTTAAAAGAGTTGATTTTTCTTTAAACCTTTGATGGAATTCACCAATGAAGTCATCTGCCCATGGGCTTTTTTTTCCCACTGTAAATTCTTTGATCACTGATTTAATCCCTTTGGTATAGGTCTATCTACATTTTCTATTTCTTCTTGAATCAGTTTGATAATCTGTGTTTCTAGGAATTTATCTGTCTCCTCTAGAATGTTCAACTTGTGGTCACAGAGTTGGTCACAGTGTCTTCTTATCCTTTTATTTCTGTAAGGTTGTGAGTAGTGTCACTCTCATTCCTCATGAGCATTCCCTCCTTCTCTGTCTTAAGATTTATCAATTTTGCTCATATTTTTATAGAACTTTACAAAATTTAGATTGCTTTGTGTTCTATTATCAGCTGATGTGGAGTGTTTTACATGGCTCTAATTGGTTTACAAGATTGTTCAAGTTTTGTTTCCTTGTTTACCTAATTGCTCTATCCGATAGAGAAAGTAGAATGTTGAAATCTCTATTTATTTTCTGCAGTGCTGGGGAACAAAACCGGGGTGTTGCACATGCTAGGCAAGAGTTCTACCACTGGCTACATTCCAGGCCTTCCAATTATTAAACTGCCTATTTTTCCCATCAATTTCGGTCAATTTTTATTCAAACTTTCTAGGGCTTTACTATTTGGTGCATAAGTATTTATAATTGTCATATTCTTATAGGTTGACTCTTATCAGGGTAAAATGTCCTGTTTCTCTTGTATCAGTGTTAAAATCTGTACTACAATTCCATCCTTTTAAATGGAGAATTTATTCCATTTACATTTAAAGTGATTAATAATAATTCTTACTACTAAAGAAATGAGTCAATTCATCCATTATGCTATATTTTATGTTACTGATTAAAAGCATATCATTTTTATTCCTTTTTCACTTTTACTGTTTTAGTTATTTTCTTAGTAGTTTCACTGGAATTGCAATTAACATCTGCTTCATACCAATTTGGTTTGAATGAACATCATTTTTTAATAGTATACAAGAATTTGTTTCTACACAACTTCATCATCCACCCATATGTTGTTACTGTCACAAATTATCTTTATACATTTTGTGTCCGTCAATATTAGTTATTGTTTGGTGTATGGTTGTCTTTGAAATCATGCGAGGAATAGGTAGGTATGGTGACACACACCTGTAATCCAAGTGACGTGGGAGACTGAGGCAGGAGGATCACAAGTTTGAGGCCAGCCTCTGCTACTTGGCAAGGCCATAAGCAACTTAGCCAGACCCTATCTCAAAAGGGAGGGGGGAAGATGGGGATGTAGTGACTCAGTGGTTAAGTACCTCTGGAATTAATGCCTGGTACCAAAAGCAATCAATCAATCATGTGAGGAAAATAAAAAAGCAGTTACACATCCAAAAAACACATTAATATTTTTATATTTACCTTTGCAATTACCGTTATTGGTGTTCTTTAATTCTTCATGTGGATTTTAGTTACTGTCCAGTAGTCTTTATTTTGGCTGGAAAGGCTTGGCAATCCATGTGTGATATCTACTAGCAACAATTTTGTTTTTGTTTATCCCAAATGTTTTATTCTCTTTTTGAGTTTATTTTGCCAGATATAGGATCTTTTTTTTTTTTTGTACTAGGGATTAAACCCAGGGGCATATAACCACAGAGCCACATCCCCAACCTTTTTTTTTTTACATCTTATTTAGAGACAGGGCCTCGCTAAGTTGCTGAGCCTCGCTAAGTTGCTGAGGCTGGCTTTGAACTCGTGATCCTCCTGCCTCAGCCTCCTGAGCCGCTGGGATCACAGGCCTGCGCCACTGCACCAAGCCACATAAAGGATTCCTGGCTGACATTTCTTGGAGTATGTTAAACATATCACCCCACTGGCTTCCAATCCCCATGTCTTCCTGATGAGCCACTGGCTGCTGGTCTTATTGATGATAACCTCAACATGACAAATTGCTTCTCTTGCTGTTTTCAGGATCCCTGTCTCTTTGGGTTTGGTCTCAATGCGTCTCTTTTATCCTGCTTAAAATGCACTGAGCTCCTTGGATGCACAATGCCTTCCACCAAATGTGTAAGTTCTCACTCTTTTTTCAAGTATTTTTGCCATTTCTCTCCTCTACTGTGATTTCCCATGTGTGCGCTGGTATACCTTCTAAGGTCCATCAATTTTCTTAGGCTGTTAGTACTACATTTTTTTTTTTCTTTCTGCTCCTCAGACTGGATACCCCCAAGTGGACTATCTTGAAGTTTGGTCACTCTTCTGGCTTCTCAAATCTTCTCTTGAATCCTTCTAGTGAATTTCTCATTTATTTTTATGCTTTTTAATTCTAGAATTTCAACTTCATTCTTTTTCTCATTTCCCTTTATTGAAATTTTCTATTTGGTTCTATTGGATCCTTTCAGTTCTTTGTTCATGGTTTCCTTAGCTCTTTGAGCTTTGGGGGTTTTTCTTTTGTTTTTCTCCAGTGGATTTAAAGTCTTTGGTAAGTACATCTGAGCTTTCTTGTTTCTATTAGTAAGTCTTTCATGTGTGAGCCATACTTTTTTGTGTGCCTGATATTTTTGCTGAAAACTGAACATTTTGAACAGTATAATATGGTCACTTAGAAAATCAAATCTCCTTTTTATCAGCTTGTTATTACTATACGTTGTAGTTTATTCAGGAACTTTCTTGAGCTAATGCTTTAAAGTTGTACTCTTTGTCCAAGGGTGATCTCAGTCTTTGGCTAGCTTAGTAGCCAGTCAGTCACCAGATTTCCCTAAAGATCTGGAACAAAAAAAGTCCCTCCAGTCTTTGTGGGTGTTTTCCATGCGTGAGCCATACCTGTCACTCAGGCAGCTTCTAACTCTGCCTTAGCTTTCTCTTCCTGCTTGTGAGCCACAGGTGGGAGCTCAGGACTTTCTCAAGTCTTTCTCATGCACCCAGGACTGGACATGTGTGTGATCCTCTAAATTCCCAGGACATGTGCAAGCTCTTCGAACATGTCATTTCCTAAAGCACCCCACTCCCTTGCCTTTCCTCTCTAAAGTTTCTAATTTGTCTCCTGTTTGCCCAACTATTATCCCTCTCCCTAGGCATCAGTGGCTAAAAGATTGCCTTTGAAATGACCCTCCCGTCCCCAGTTGCCACCTTCACCCTGGGAAAATTCCAAATTAGGCCAAACAAAAGTAAGTTATTTGAGTTAGTCTTTTAAGGCATAACCTGACATAATTATTCCTGAGGATAATATCTATTCTCTTCCCTCCAGTGTTTCAAAGATTTACAGGGAATGAGGAATATTGCTTTTGATGCTACTCTCAAGCTGGGGAGTGGGGAATGGTACCACGGTAAGTTAATATACAACAGAATTTATACTGAATTCACCTTTTTCTTCCTTAAGCATTCACTTGGTGGCTGTGAACTCTATTTCCAGATTTCCAATAAAGTTGACTCTGAAAAGAGTTTTTGCTAGCTTACTTGTTTTGTGAGTAGACTTTGGGATTTCCCTATCTCACCATTGTTGTTGAGCACACTAAATTTTAGAAAGCTCTGCTCTAGTTTACTGCTCATTTTATAAAGGCCCAAAGACAGATGTGACTTCTCCAGGGTCACAAGGCAAATCAGTGTCTGAGCCAACATCAGAATAGGGATACTCAACTTGCAGCCCAGAGTGTTTTCTGATTCAGGATATAGGCTCTAACTACAACTCAGTGTGAGTACCAGTGTTGGACCAAGGAGCAGCTTTCCTAGGAGCAGGAGCTGTGGATTATGGTCTCCATTAGAGCTGGGAGACTTGAATGACTGACTCCTTTACTGAGAAGAGATTTACATGGGGTCTGATAGGGGACAGAGTAATGATGTACCTGTCTCTTATTGGGAACACAGGCACAGAGGGCTTTCAGGTTTGATAGGTAAAAATAAAAAAGTGCCCCACTTGCCCTACAGATACGAAAACTCACTAAGAGCTGAATTCACCTTGTGTTTCATCTTTCTGTTGTTGTTTGGTGATGCTGAGAACTGAATCCAGGGCCAGGCAAGCTCTGAGCTACATCCTCAATCTCTTTAGTTTTACTGTGAAACAGAGTCTTCTGAAGTTGCCCAGGTTGGCTCCAAATTGGCTCCTGCCTCAGTCTCTCAAGTAGCTGGGATTACAGGCATGTGTCACCGTGCCCAGCTCATGCTTCATATTTTAGTTTTCCTTTCAGAAGTGAGATTAGATGTGTAGCCTGGACTGGCCTTGACCACTGTCTCCAGAAAGCAGCCAAGGCCCAGTGCACCTGTCTTCAGAAAGAGGCCTGTAAGGCTGCATCTCTTCCCATCTCTTTTGTCCTGAGCATAACTGACAGTGTTGACCCACATCTCCCAGTAACTCTGCAAGGAAGTAAGTATCTTTGCCCCTGGAGAGATTTCAATGAGATCACACAATCCTTTAGCCCACAGGTACCTTGAGTTGGGTCCATTTCTTCCTCATCACAGTCTTACAACCCAGTCCCTATAAATTAGCTTATGCCCCCAAATTTCTAATTCAAGTTGTGCAAATTTTCACTGGCTAATAAGATGGGAACCCCTGAGCCACGAAGCAGGAAAAAACAAACAAACAAACAAACAAACAAAAAACAGGCTGTCCCCAGGAAGTCATTTCCAGAACATTCCAGAGCTTGCTGACTTTAATTTTAAAACAGTTTTTGGCTACAGACATTCAGGTTTAAGGCACATTCCAAACTACAAGGAGCCCTGTCACTGGCAGGGAACCAACCTTGTTCTTGTGGTTGTACATGGATGATGGAACAAATGACTTTCTGGCCTTTTTATTTTTCTAAAAAGGAGTGAGTTTGGCAAAAACAAAGCCTATGACACATTCTCACCAGATGCAAACATTACCCTGACAGGTCCTCCCTTTTGTCTTTGGTGAGGGCAGGGTGCTCTCTACCCACCCCATCGCTCTCACCAGAAATGTGTGTGTAGTAAACAGACTCGTATGCATCTGTCTGGCAATGACAGTTAAAAAAAGAAAGAAAATATGCCTTCAAATAGACATACAAAATCACATGACTAAAATGAAGCTAAGAGTCTTTGTCACAAGCAATGAGGAATGACTGCATGAATCAGGAAATAAAATATCTACCTTAAGAGCAAGAGGCGAAGGGATGGAGGCACCTTGGGAGAGCTCTAGCCCCACCAGGCCCTTCAGCACGACGTAATATGTGGAGTGGGAAGGGCAGGAAGGTCAGGGCCAAGGCTCTAGGGACAGACAGTGCACCTTTGGGCTATTCTGTGGATTTGTGAGAAAAGGGTGCTCCTTTGGCCTTTTCCGGGCATCACCATTGCCTGCAGGGGGCAGAAGTGAGCCACGTCACTGCTCAGTGGTCACTCCTCAGTCGTTGCCACCACAGATCTTTAGCAGAATCTTCCGGTAGTCCCCTGAAGTGTCTCCCTGGTCATAGAAACAAAGGCATCCGTTAAGGGAGGCAAGGCACTTCCAGCCTCCTGGTTCCTGACTTTCTTTGGTTCCAAGCCCCCTTGAGGAGAAGCAGGGCCCTCCTGGGAAACGTCCCACCCTGTTGGTCCTACAACAGGCAGCGAGCACAGTCCTTAGACAGTGCAGTTCAGCCTTCCCGGGTCCCCATTAAAAAAAAAAAAAAAAGCTGCACTCACCCCAGTTTATCAGAGTCAACTGCAACAAAATTAAAATCAGCCTAAAACCACTATGCAGGGCTAACCAGGATTGTTCTTTTCCCAGTGCGCTGACCTAGCACCAAACTGAGGTTCTGCCATAATGCACCATGTCCTGCCCAAGGAGTGTGACTTCCATGACCACACAATGTCAGATGCTGCTACTACACAGGCCTCCCAGCTCCCAGGCTCTCTCCTCTGTCTGACTCCTCTGCACCTGCTCCAGGAGTGCTGGCCAGGCCTTGCTAATTTCTAATCATTTCCTGCCACTGTCTGTTCTTTGAGAGTAAGGCCCATGGCTTCTTCCGGATGCCAGTCTGCTGTCGCACAGGAGATGCTGTCAGGAATTGCTAGTTCCCTGCTTTCACAGCCTTATCTTTACAGCATGGAAATGGAGATGAGTTTCTCTCAAGGAACAACATCAAATGCTAGGGAGTCTGGACCTGGTCCTGGCGATTTCAATTTTAAAGTTCACATGAGTTTGGAATTTCACCGTCAAGTCACCCAGACAAGAATAAATGTTGTCAGCCTGGCTCTGGGGCACAGTGACACAACAGTTGCCATTGGGTGATCACTTCCACGCACTGACTGACTGAGCAGGTGGAGCTGGTGCACTGGAGCTGAGGATGCAGGGTCCAGACACACTTGGACCTCAGAAGCTTACAAGTTGTTCAGGGGCAACTGGATGAACCAATGGAAGTTGAAGTCTGAGGTCCAACAACAAGATTACACGTGTGGCCCAGAGCCCAAGCACCTGGCTGTTCCAGAGAGGGCAAGGTAAAAACAGGGGCACAGGTGAGTGGGATTCCAAGAGCCAGCCCAGTCAGCCCCGGGGCCTCGTACCGTGATGTCGTGGTAGAGCGACTTGCCATACATCCGCTTATACTCTGCTCTGATGTCCAGGAGGTCGATCTCACTGCGAGACACCATGATGCGAATCAGGGTCCTGTCCTTCGTTCCTGCTCCCTAAAGAAAGTCCACCCAAAGCATGAGCAACGGGGCTTCTACCCTCTCACTCCCCAACCCCCTGCCCCTCCCCAGCCCCCAGGTGCTCAGACCTCCAGGCTGAGGTCTCTCTCTCCATGACTTCTATGCTTAGCCCCTGGTCCCAGGCACAGGTAGGGCTAATGCAGGGATGACCTGGGCCTTTTGCACATGGGAGTTACATACCCTCATGGCCCTGTTGAGCCTTTCAGCAAAGAAAGCTGGAGTATTCTTGAGACATTTCACTAGAAGAGAAAACACAGCATAACCACATCAGCAGAAAACTCAGCCCGAGAAAGGCACAGACTACCCAGGTGTCCTCCTTGGAGGCCCCAGAGATCAAACCCGTCACTGCCCCCATCTTCCTCTCCTCCAGGCCCAATTACACCCCATGATCCTGACTCCAGCTCTTTGGAATAGGAACACAGAGTCTGGCACCAACCCAGCCTCTCTCCTGGTAACTTCCCAGATAAAAGGAGTGAGAACATGAAGTACGGTGGTGCACGCGGGTAATCCCAGCCACTCAGGACGCTGAGGCAGAAGGATCCCAAGTCCAAGGCCAGCCACAGCAATTTAGTGAGATTCTTGTCTCAACATAAAAAATAAAAAGGGCTGGGGATAGCTCAGTGGAGCCCCCTGGGTTCAACCCAAGTACTGTAAAAAAAAAAAAAAAAAAAAAAAGAGGAATGAGAACCAGTGGCCCCTGAGCAATGCAGGGAGCTGTGTAGGGAGGGGAGGGAGAGGCGCTTCAGAGCCCTATGACCTCACAAAGAAAGATGGCTGAGCAGAATTAGTGTCCTCCTAGAATTTTCGAGCAAGAGACACACATGGGGACATGTAAGGAAATGAGGACTTGTTGTCTGTTCCACTCAGAAAGCTCCAAGGAAAGCAAAGTGGGCTGGGGGGTGGGGAGGGATGGGGTGGGCAAACTGCTTTTCCCAGTGAGTATAAAGAGCGGTTGTGAGAGCCGCAGGGGGAGGACCCAACTCTGCATGATAGGCGGGGCCTGCTTCAGAGGCCACAAGCCCTGCAAGAAGCAGCCACCATCCTGGGACCCCGCCAGCTTCCTCTGGCATAGGCCTGTTTTGCTGTTGCAAGTAAAATCTTTCCACGTGTTTCCATCACAAACATCTGACAACTGCCTGCAGGGATGTATTTTTAGAGGAAACTTGGCAGGATATGAGTCACCTTCCTCCGGGACAGCAGCTGGATGCTCTCCCACTAATGCCCACACTGCAGCTCCCTGTCCAGAGTGGCTCTGGAAATATAAACAAGACACCCCTGACCGGGCTAGTGGGGCTCACTCTGCCATGATCTGGGAAGCGGGACTTCCCACCATTGGATCTGTATTTAGCAACCCTGGACACATGGTTCTTGCACTCCGCCACCCTTCAACAGGAGGACGGCGAGCACCCTGACCACTGCTGTGCGTGCCAGCCCCTGCCTGGGGAAAGGGGCAGGTCTGAGAAACCTACCCACGGCCAGCATGCCCTGCTCCAGGTCCCCGGACATCTCCCGGCAGATGCTCTTCTCAATGTCTCGACCTGTCATCCTCTGGTACTCGTTGAAAACTAGCGGGAAGACAGAAAGGACATGTCATGGACTGAACTGTTTCCCCCCAAATTCAGATGGTGAAATCTTAACCCCAGCACCTCAGAACAGAACTGCATTTGGAGATAGGATCTTTAAAGAGGTACCTCTATTAAAAGAAGGCTGTCCGGTGGCCCTAAGCCAACCTGAGCAGTGCGTCTATAAGAAGAGGGGTTCATGACAAAGGAAGATGAGAGAAGTGCATGCACAGAGAGTCCTCAACTTATGATGATTTAACTTACAATATTTTTGTGCTTACAAAGGTCCTCATACAACAGTTCAGTATTCGCTGAATTATAGGAGACATTCGGGCTCTGTGTCAGATGATTTTGCCCCACTGTAGGCTAACATGAGCATCCTGAGCATACCTAAGACAGGCTAGGCTAAGTGTGACTTTCAGTAACTTAAGTGGTAAATAATGCTTCTTTGTGGGTTTTTTTTTTTTTTTTTTTTTTTGAGACATGGTCTTTCAATATTGTCCAGGCTGGTCTCAAATTTTGGTGCTCAAGTGATCCTCCTGTCTCAGCCTCCTTACAGCATTTTCGACTTACAATGAGCTTACTAGGACATAAGCCCATGGTAAGTAAGTCAAAGAGCACCTGAACAGAAGAGAGGCCACATGAGGCCACAGTGACAAGGAGGCTGTCTACAGCCAAGAAGAGAAGCCTCAGAAGGGGCCCTGTGCAGCTTCGTCTTTGGACTTCTAGCCTCTGGAACTACAAGAACTACTACTACCCAGTCTGAGTCTTTGTCAGAGCAAACTAAGGACGTGCAAGAAGAGGCCTCTGGCCCTCAGGAGCTACCTCTCCTGCTCTGCTCCAGGCGCCCTGGGCAGCCCCACTGACTTTGCCTGCCAGCTCTCAAGGCAGCCACAGTGTCCCACATCATGGGCACTGCCCAGTATTCCTTGCTCATGGAGTCCTCCTACCAGGACAGTCCTCGCCAATCTGCTTACCAATCGCAACCAACCCACCCTGGCACATCCAGGGTCCCCTCCCACCAACTCTTCTGCACCCCCAGCCCACGCACTCCTCCTCAGTCATCCCCGTCAGTTCCGTCTGCTCAGCCTAACAGTGAACTGAGGCCCGGCCAGCAGGGCCAGCATCGCCCCATGCTCTCCCCATAGCCCTGCTTCCCCAGGACCAGCAGAGCCGGGGCGGGATGGAGGCCTGGAGCCAGGCTCTGCATTGCACGCTGCTCTCTCTCACTCTGCCTGCTCCCCAGTATCAGTTCCAAACTGGTGCCACCTACAGAGCAAAGCTGTGACTTCGGCTGCACTCGTGCCCAGTGCAATTCAGATTTTCTTCAAGGTGCTGCTATTTCCCCCAAGCCACGTTTGTGGAATCCTGGGTTTGCTGCAGCTACTCTGGTATGATATCTCGCTATTAAAATGATACCGAAGGGGAAAGTACCTTAACTCCCACTCCACGCAGCACAGTGAGGAAGCTTAGAAGTGTGTCCTGAGGCCAGAGGCCTGGGTTCAAATCCAAGCGTGGCCAGATTCACTTGCCCAACAGCCTGTTCCCTCCTCTTGAAGCCAGGAGGACACATGCTCCTGGCGCCTGCGTTCTAAACTCAGTGTGTGCTGGGCCTTCACCTCCCACCAGCCCTGTATCTCTGGCCAGTGCCCTTCCATGCTGCCCATGCTCAGGATTCCCAGTCCCTTCTCAGTCCTTCCAACACAGTTGGCCTCCCAAACTGCCTTTTACCGTGAGTCCTCCCCCAGGGCCCTAACCTCAAACCACCATTCTCTCTCTGTCCCCTCCCAAGGGGACATCTTACAGTCCAGAGGCCAAAGCACTGTTGACTCTTTGCAGCTAGCTACCAAACTCCCACTTCCGGCCCACAGTTCTCCTGAGCATCAGGCTCATAAACTGGCTTCCTGGCTTCTCTGTCCCAAGGCGCCTAGTGTCCTTCCCTCCTGATGAGACTTGTTCTGTCCAGAGCTTTCCAATCTCTGTGGAAGGTCACGCCATTCTTCCACTTGCTTAGCCAAAACCAAACTCTCTATCATCCTCGGCTCCTCTCCTTCTCCCACTCTGCGTGTCCCAGTCATCAGCAAGGAGGGCCGGAACCTGACCTCCTTTCACCCCATCCCTTCTCCAGGCCACCCTCATTTCTCCCTGGAGTCACTGCAGCAGCTTCCCAACAGGTTCCTCTGCTCTGCCACAAACCCTGCACTCTCAACACAGGCTAGGTCTAGGTCCCCCAGGAAAGCTGGGCATGTCTGGACTGGCACGCCCCGAGGGTAAGGAGTATACTCAATTCTGCAATGAATTTGCAAGTTGCCTCCTCGGGACTCTTCAGGGCCTCCAGGCCGCTCAGGAGAAACACCTAACCCCAGGCACCGTCAGCCAGGCCTCCTCCGACCTCATTCATTCCAACTGCTCTGGTCACACAGCCCGTTTCCCTGAGTCTTAGCCACTGCACGGGGCCTTTGCGCCTGGGTCTTCTTCAGGGTTTCAGGAAAATGGCACTCTGTCCAAGCAGACTCGCCCCACAGCCTCCCCCTGGGTTCTGCTCCATTACTCCCTAGCCCCATGTCCGGCTTTATTATGTTCTCTACAGGATTTATCGCCTGACACAGGCTCTACTCAGTACTTACTTACAGTGTGTATCCTGAACAAGGCGAAGCCCATGAGAACAGAGACTCTGCTGGCCTCTGTTCCTTCCAGGCCCCGCACCCACTCCACCACCCAAGAGGAACACAGCCAGAGTTCCAACCGGATGTGTTGACCAAGTAAACAAAGTTGCCCAGAGTCATTGCTATAACTGTGTCTTATGCCACCCTGGAAAACCCCGATGAGGAGCCCCAGAGGGCACTCCCAACTCCAATCCATACTCCAGCACAGCCAACCAGAGCCCATTTCCTCATGTCTCCCTTTGCTTCCTGCAGAACTGGTGCTTTGACTCAGCAAACACTCAAGAGCATCTTTTAACTCACCACCAGGGGGTGCTTTTGAGAAAGCAAAGGCCCCAGGCAGAGATGAGCCGCCCAGTGGTCCTGCATGCTTGGTTTCCCACAATGCCCTCATCTAACTGGTCCCAGGGAGGCCCAGGACTGCCTTACCTGCCACCAGGTGGGCCCGGCTCCGGGAACACAGAATTGCATTGAACTTGGACTCGTCTGTTCCCAGGCGGTTCTCCCCAGCCGCATACAGCTCCTGGAGAGGAAGGCACATGTTCAACACAGGGCACACTCCAGACCCCTGGCTCAGGACACCTAGAAAACAGGGCAGTGTCTGGCCCTGTGACCCCAGAGGAGCAGAAAATGGGGCAGTTGGAGCAAAAGTTTGCTGATCCTCTGCTGTGCTCCACCCCTTGGGGTGGCACAGAGAATGCTGGTGCTGGGAGACACTCAGATCAGGCAACCAAGGCGAACTGGAGGCCAACGTTGGGCAAAGAGCATCCTTAACTGGCCCAAGGGAGCAGCAAGGCAGAGAAGAAATGGAAGGAATGGAAGAAGAGGGCTGGGCTCGAGGCAGGTCTCTCCAAGTCCGTTTCTCATCTCTAAAATGCCAAGGGTGAGTTTGATTTGAGGTTGCAAAGTCAAGAGCCCCAGAGAGCCAGCTGGATAACAACTGATAAAAGTAGGTCAGCTTTAAAGCCCAGAGTGGGGCCCCATGGCTAGCCATCCTGAGGGACAGTGCTTCTCAGCAGCAGCTGAGTCCTGTGACAGAGAGACACGGTCTGAGGCTGCCAGATCCATTCCTCAAAGCCTGAAATCCAGATTTCTACAGGTAATTTCCCAGCCTTGAAAAGCAATTTCCCTATCTATAAGAAGGAATGCATGTGAGCTGGGGTTGTGGCTCAGGGGTAGAGTCCTTGCCTAACACATGTGAGGCCCTGGGGTCAATCCTCAGCACCACATAAATAAAATAAAGGTATTAAAAAAAAAAAAAGAAGAAGGAACATGTGAGACAATCAATATTACAACAGCAGATAGATGGCAATCATGAGTAAGGGATTTCATAATTTGTTCTTCCTCTGTTTATTATGTATACCATTATGTTTGCAAAGAGGCAGAATTTGCATTCACCTGTTAATGAGCTTTTGAAGGTTTGAGTCCTAAATACTTGACAATTTGCAACCCTGCCCCAGATGGCCTCTAAGGTGCCTGCAAGTCCCAAACAGCAGCTCTTAGACCTGTGGTCACTGATTCCCAAGGGAATCAGCAGGTCAAGGTGAGGCTGAAGGAGGTCAGGCATGGAGGAGGGAGAGCATGATACCTCTGCCTTCAACAGAGGTCTGCTGGGAGGTATGGCCGCTCCCTCCCACCAGGATGGGGCTCTCTGCAGCTAGCACACCAGGGTCTGAATGCAATATGTGACACACAGACTTTTCCAGAGAAGCATGGACACCTGAGCTTCCTTCCCCTTTTGCTTTGCAAATCACAAGAGGAACAAGGATGGAATTCTAAGGAAGCACAACTGGGGTGACAGCTGGTTTCTAGGCTCAAAGCCTCAAAAGCTTAACAGGCAAGTGCTAATTCTTTCCCTTTGCAAACATAATGGTGCACACACCTCAACACCGGAAAGGTCCCAAGCCATGTGAAATCCCACATCCATAACTCATCGATCAATCATTGCATCATTTATTTTCTTGCATGTTCCCCCCTTATACATGGGGAAACTAAGGCCCAGAAGACTAGGTGGTTTCTCAAGGTCACACAGTTGATAAAGGACAGAGCATGGCTGAAACCTGAAGCATCTGCAACCCTCTCTGTATCCATTGCTCTTTTCTTCCCAGAGCATCTCTTTGTGAAGGAAGAAAGTGGGGGACATCCCTGGTTTAGGAAGTCTGGCCTGGTCATCACACTCACCTGCACATCTCTCTGGACGAGGGACATGTCCACATTGGTGCTTTCATCCCGGTTTCCCTGAAAGGAAGCAGGTGGTACGGTGAAGCCCACCCCGTCAAGGCACGGAGCTCCTCACTGCTCCCCTTCCCTCACTGCTCCAACCCCACTGCTCTGATTGTCTATCGTGGGGAAGGCACCTGAGAGAGAGAGATGAGGAGCCGCTGGAAGTGCCCTGACGTGTCACTTCGGATGGCCTCCTCCAGGGTCTTTTTGAATTCTGAAAGGGAGACACAAGGAAATCAACTCCCAGCTGCAGCTGCCCACTGCAGGGTGGGTCAACAGTGGACAATGGGACAAGACAGAGGCCCAGATGGCCCTTTGAGACATGCAACCCTGTGACCCCCAGGCTGCCCTGGCCTCTGACAGGCGTGGCTCTATCACATCCCTCTCTTACCTTGGTCACCTGCTCTATGTATGAAGAACAGGCAGGGTTGGGCCTGGGTCAAAGCCCAGTGTGCTAGGAGTGGCAGGAAATGGGGTGATAAAGAGGCCAGGAAGGAATAAGAGGCCCTGGGAGAGGGTGTGGCCCATACCTGGCATGCAGAGCCGCCTGCAGAGGGCAGAGGCCCTGGGTCAGGCTCACCTGTTTTGTAGGCTCTGCTCAGTTCCCGGATGTGCTCATTGCTGCGGGAAGCGAGGATCTCAATCAGGCAGGCTTCGTCAGTGCCAGCCCCCTACAGTGGCACAGAACACAGCAGACCACACAGTTACCCTCACCAGCACTCTCGAAAGACAGCAGGTGCTACATTGTTAACAGCAGCCCCAGAGGCACACCTGTGGCACTGCTCCTGGGCCTGGGAGCCAGTCCCCTCACCCCACTTCCCCAGGCCCAGGTAAGCACTAGATAACAATGTCAATGGAAATGAATACAGATCACATAAAGGGTCACCACCACTGACAAGAAATAATCAGAGAGGTACAGTGACTGTCCAGGGCCACACAGTACTTAGTAAGGGTGAGATGTGGACCAAGGTCTATTTTATTCCAAGGTCAGTCCAAGAGTGAGATGACAAATAACTGAGAAAATGGAATAAAAATAAAGGAGATCAGAGTGGGTGTGTGGGAGTCCCAAGTAGAATGTGGAGTGTCTGGGGGACATCTTAGAATAGGCTGCAATGAGGATAAAAAAAAAAAAAAAAAAAAAAAAGACTATACCAGGGACAATAGGAAAGCAGAGGACAGAGTCAGCAGCCTTGCTTTTATGTTACTTTAAATCTTGGCCATGTGGTTCACCAGCTATGCAACCTTGATGAGTTACTTAACTTTTCTGTACCTCAGGTGGCTGGGTTAATGTAGGTAGAGCATTTAGACGTGCTGCTCAGACGTGCTGCTCAGGCAGGATGGGCTCCCCCAGGGTCTTTGTGACCCTTAATTGTAAAAAAAAGTAGCTTATGTGAGCTACTTTTACCATTACTGATACCCCCTTGCAATTATCAGATTACTTGGAGTTTACGATGGGCTTCTGTGTTAGGCACTTACCCAGTGCCACTGGACATCCTGACAGCATCTATGCTCAAGGACACACAGCTGGGCAGCAACAGCTGCAGCCACGCCTGTGTTGCTCCCAGCACCACCTTATCAAGCTGCTGAAGGCGGGTGCAGGGCAGAAGCCTGGGGACCACTGCCCTCCCCAGTCACCTCCTGCGTCCTCCCTGGACCAACACAGGCAGTGTGGGTTCCAACAGAGTCCTCTCCCACTTCCAGGCACCACACTGAATCTCTACTTCTCCTGGGGGAGGCACTGGACCCCAGTGAGCAGTTCCTTCCGGGATGCATGCTCCACCCACAAGGAACCCCCTTCTGAGGGGTTGTCCCTTCTCAGCCCCAGGACACATACGGGTGCAGGACTGTATGGATGGATGGAACCTGCCCCTCAGCCGGAACCATCTAGACCTGCGGGAGACAGTGACCCCAAGCCAAGTCCATCAGAATCTGCCCCATTAGGAATTTGGACAAGGGACAGCTGGTCTCTTCTGTAACTGGATCTGATAAGTGACGGAGATGGCGGTGGGGTACAGGGTGTCATCATTTGGAAGCAGATACCCCAGAAGAAGTGGTCACAGAAGTCACATCTGGGTCCTGCCCTTTACATGCCCTGGCCCTGGCCCTCCTTCTCTGTGCCAAGCTGTCTTCATCCCCACGACCAGTTCTCTGCCTCTATTTTGGTTCAGCTCAAGCAGATGGCTGCCATTTGCTAGTGGCAGAGACCCACAGGATGAGAGCTCCCCAACCACGGCCTCGACCCCCTCTCTCACTCCATTACCACCTTCCTCCATTCCCCCAGCTCCTGACACTTAAGATGGAAAGAGGCTTGGACACTCCCTCTGACAAATGGCATGTCATGTGTCTCTTGGGGAAATTACCGGAAGATGTGCTTTCTACAGCATGTTGACTCCAACCCAGGAGGGCCCAGGAGCTGCGCTGAGCAACAGCGAGGAAGGGGACAGCCACATTTCACACCATCCAGCTCTCTTCTGGGCTGTGTGTCCACACCCACACTCCACTCCACATCCCTCCCCACAGCCCTACGTGTACATACCTTGATGGCTTCCTTTATCTCATACACATCAAACAGGACTGGGGTCTTCATCAGAGCCAAGATAGTCTTCTCAAAGTTTCCTGACAGCTCAGATTTCAAGTCTTTGATCAAATCCTGATTGCATTTTCAAACAAACAAGACAAGGACATCTTGAGAATCCACAGAAGGTGACTCACAGGAACAGAATCCCAAATGGGACAGCCACATCATGGACATCACAGGGAAGAAAAGCCTGCTTTCAGGGACAGGCCTTAGCTGCAGAGCCTGCAATTACACAGGATGCCCACCACTGGGGGCACACCAAGGGGAGCACTGGGCCGGGCACTCACCCATCCAATATATACATGATTATTTTTGTAAAGTTCAAAGTTCTAGAGGTTGAAAATATACCCCTTTTGCATTTGTTCAGTTCACAAATCTTTTCTTCCAAAACTCCTTTGTCAGCTAAACCTCCCAGGGTGTCATGAAGAGGGAGGGGAAAGGACCCTGAGGCTGGGTAGGACTGGGGGAGAAATGAACTATTCATGGTGTCAGTGAGTGGTGGCACAGCCAAGGCTGCAACCCAGCTGTCCACATGCCTCTCACCAAGCCTCACTACACTATGGACTCTGGGGGTGCTTCCTCCAGGCATCCTTCACCTCTAAAAGATGTCACCATCTGGGGACGACCGGCTGGGGAAGATCAGGAAATGTCCTAATGCAGTTCACTGTCCATTAGATGTCCAGGTCCACTTGGCCCCAAGGAAAAGTGGGTCTGTAGGCCATGCTTGCTTCTATAGGGACCAGGGCCCACTGTCCTCGCCCACCCCCCCACCCCATAACTCACCTTGCCATAAGCTGTCTTGAAGGACAGGAGGATCTGTTGCCGCTGCTTGTTGGAGCGACTCCCCAAGCAGTCGATGATGGCCTGCTCATCAGTCCCTGGGGATGAGAAGGTGGGAGTGGGTCATGGGATGCTTTGCAGGTGATAGGGACGTTCTGTGATTACTGACTCCTGGCCTGGGGCCGCTAATTCTCCTGGACACCCCTACACTCCCAAGCCCACCTTTCCTTCCAACACCACTGGGGTCAGGTGCGCCTCCCACCAGCCACCTCAGCCCACAGAACCATCGTGAAACTGCTCAGGGATTTGGGGCACGGGGTGGGGTGTGGACTGGAGCCTCCCCAGGTCTCTCACCAAAGCCCTTCATGGCCTTCCGTAAGACCTCGGCATCTCGCAAGGGGTCAAAGCCAGAAGCATCTGTGATGGTGCCTCGGTTTCCAAACTACTTGGACAAAGAGTTGCAGGTAAGGTGACTCACTCTGGCTGTCCAGTGCCAAGGCTGTCCCACCCCAGACTCTGGCACCTCTTCTCTCTAAACCTGGGGGAGCTCAAGGAGCCCGAAATAAACAGTGCAGAGGGCTCCACATTGAGTCTCCCTCAAGTGGCTGTCACCTGTCCTTGTGTTCTGGTACGGGTTTCTTCCCGGCTTCTGTGGCTAGGAGCCCTTACAGCTGGGTCCTGCCGCTGAAAACCTGCCCTCCACCCAGGTCCTCCAGGGCTGGGCCCAGGTCCTGAAGAAGGGCCCTTGGCCTCTCCTCCACGCCTAATCACATCATGCATGGAGCACACATCAGGACAGTCCTGACGGGCGGCCAGTCCACGTGACCTGGAGATGCCGGCACCCAGCCCTCACAATGGTGGGTGGCCTCTTAACTGCTTCTTGGGACTAGCGTTCATTCCCTGTCCCTGTCCCTAGAGGCCATGCTGCCTGACTACTACACTGCCTGTACAGCCAGCAGCTGTACAACCCCAGTGAAATTGAACTTCCCAGTTGCTATTTGACTTTTAAATGCCTCCCAGAGACTCTTGTGTTAAAAGGACTTTGCAGAAAGCCTGCGGCACTAGTGGGAAGTGGCAGCACCGTGAGGAGCCAGGGCCTGGTGGGAGGAAGTTAGGTCAGTGAAGGTGTGCCCCGCCCCTTCCTCTCTGCTCCCTGGCTACTACGAGGTGACAGCTCCACTCCAAGCACTCTTCCTTGATACAGGCCTCAACAACAGGTCAAGTGACCATGGACTAAAACCGGGGGTCCAAATACATCTGGCCTCCTTTAAGCTGCTCGTCACAGGTATTTGCCAAAATGACAGAGAGCTACTGCACAGGCTCAACTGTCTCCTGGTGGGCCGTCCTCCCAGGCGGGCTAGACAGACGGCTATGACACAGTAAGGAGATGTGATCAGAGAAGAGATGGGAAGGAGGCAGGGAGGCAGGCTGGAGGGTGGCATGGAGGCGGACAGGGAGCAGAGGGGACCCTCTGTCTAAAAATAGTCACCCAGCACATAACACCAGCCCTGTGCTTGGCTGCTCTGCCATGTAACCATGACAATGAATTCTAGGCTCTGCAAACATGAACCGTTCTCCAAAATGAGCCAAGATCAACCCTGGAGGAACTGCCAACAATTTTCCCAGCCCAAAGGGGATTTTAAGAATCCTCCAAAACCTGTCTGGGAGGGCCCATCGAGGGGACTATAGGGCATGAGCCTGGAGACCGGTGGCAGGGGTAGTTCTGAAAAATTCACACAGCCCAGGCAGTAAATCACAGGAGGAATGAACAGCACCCAACTTGCACTTGAAGCCAACTGGGAGAAGCTCCCACAGGCCTAAGGCATGGCCCCAGGGCAGCCTGTGACAAAGTGATACTCGGTCCAAATAAGCAGCAAAGGCCCAAGCCCTCCAGCACCTCCTGGCCTTGATTCCAGGAGCCACAGGGAGGTCTCCAGTTTGGGGGTTCAGGTCCCAATCAGCACTCACCTGAGCTGGGGCGACAGCAGGAGTGACAGTCCCAGAGCTTGGGTATCCTGGGTAGCTTGGTTGAGGCTGCTGCCCTGGCGGTGGCATTGGTGACTGCCCAGGGTAGGTCATTGGTGGCTGCCCAGGATAAGCCCCTGGGGGCTGCTGCCCAGGGGGTGGCATGGGCTGGCCTGGCACAGGGGCCCCTGGGTACGGTGGATATGAGGGCATCCCAGAAGGTGGGTTTCCTCCAGGGGGCGGGTACATTCCATATGGAGGAACAGGCTGCTGGGCTGGAGGGGGCTGCCCGAAGCCCCCAGGAGGGACTGGAGGGTAACCACCCCCAGGGGCCCCAGGGTACATGTTTGGCACGTTGGCTCCTCCGAATGTCCCAGACATGTTGGCTGCCTGCAAGTGCATAAAGCAGAGCCTGAGAACCCCAGCCCACAAGGTCTGGTGGCGGTCCGATGGTCTACCCTTCCCTGGCCTGAGCCCTGCCGGCTCCCAGGAGCCTCATTTCAGGACCTGCCCACCAAGCCCTGCTACCTAAGCTCTTCTCATACCTGAGCTGACTTAATACAGCACCTCCACCACAGCTACATGATGGATAATCACACCCACAAAGTGGGCTCAGAGACGGGCACATTTGTTCAAAGCTACAGAGTCAGCAAGTGGTGCAGCTGGGGCTCTGACCTGAAGGTCTACATCTAAACCAGAGACCTGCCACCCCCAGTGCAGAGGAGACGCCTTCCTTCTCCCACAGCTGCTGTTTCCAGCCAGACCCACTGGCTAAAGGTAGGAGCTCACAGTCCCAGAAATCAAGAGGGCCCTTTCCTGCAAGCTGGCCACCAGCTCTGCAAATGAGGCCCAGGAGGATGTGTACTCACAAGGATAAAAGCCTGGATCCCCAACAGGGTCCCGTGTCCTGAGACCTGGGCCAGCCTCCATCTCTCGCCCCGCACTCACCTCTCCTCTCCAGCTCACTGTCCCTGAGCACATCAGGCCACAGCAGCTCAGAATCTACAGTCCCTAACATCCACACGGCACACCCCTTCCTCTGCTTAGATCTTTGCTCAATACCCGCTCCCACTCTGACCCACCTTAAAAGATGGAACCTCTACCTTATAAGCTGTATCCCACGTCACCCTACCCACTCCCGACCCTTCTTCCTGGCTTTTCTTACTTCCAAAACCCTCCAATACAATATCATCACATGGTTACATCATTGTCTCTGTCTTCCCAACAGATGCTGAGCGCATCAGGGCTGCGATTTTTGTTGTTTTATTTGCACACCCCTAATACCTAGAGCTGTGCCTCAGCAGATCTAGATGTGCACTGGTTGCCATTTCTACATCTGCTGTCAAATTTTTAAATATATTTTAGAAGCAAAACAACAAATAAAAGTAAGTGTCTGCCCACTCTCCTGCCATACACCCACCCAGGACCAACGAGACAGATCTCCACGTGTACACACACGCATGCACATGCAGACACCTGTACACAACACTCATGCACACACACATGCACAAACATGTGCACACACACACACCCCTTCCCTCTGGACCCTGTGCTGAGCTCATAAGAAGGTGCTCCACAAACTTCCATGAAGGCACCACTCTTACCCAACCCCCAGGGCTGAAAGGACCCTGAGAGACCATCAGTCCAATTGTGCTGCCCTTCCGCTCATCTGACAGAGGGGGACACTGAGGCCCAGAAAGGTGGTGAGGAGGTGGCAGAACGCTGAGGAAAACCCGCGTGTTCTAACATACAGCTCAACACACTCCAGCTCAGGACCACCTCTGGAGACACAAGGGGCCAGTGCCCTGACCCCTCTGGCCACACAGCTACAGCCCCAGGAGCGGCCTCAGGTGCTGGACTCACCATTCCTGAGAGGTAGTCCTGGTTGAACTGCCCGGCGTAGTTGGCCACGTTATCCAGCCCAATGGGGGGCATGCTGGGTGGGGGGTAGCCAGCTCCGCCCCAGGCACCACCACCTGAAAACAACACCGAAAGTCTACAGTGATGTGCAGGCTCAGGGTGAGGAATCCTGCGGGTTTGGCTTTTTGCTCTAAGTCCATTTATAAATGGCAGAGACAAGAAGGATGACGGGATAGAGGAGATAGGGTTGCATGGTGGGAAACTAACAGACACTAACCAGTTTCCACAAGGGGACAGTAGAGCCAGCTGTGTGTCCTAGGGCAAAGTTCTCAACCACTCTGGGCCCATCTCCTCTGCCAAAAAATGGGCACAATGCCCAGTGTGTGTGTCCAGCTGCTGCGATGGGGAATAAGCTAATGCCTGGGCAGTGGCTACATGTGGCCACTGGACCCAGTGGAGGCTGCTGCCTGGCAGGTGCACTCCTGCCCACAGCGGCCTCGCGTCCGGCTCTTCAGTTCCAGGGATACCCAGGGACCATCCTGCCCTAAGACACCCGCCTACTCTCCCTCCTGCTGCTCGGGCTGAGCAGCCATGCTGACAGAGGTGGGGACAGCAGGATTTCTGTGGAGGAGATCGGGGCCAGTGTGGTTAAGCTGGGGGTGAGCAGCTGCTTCAGCAGAAGTGTCCCGGCTCAACCCTGAGGTGAAAGTGACAAGTGACTGAGTCTCCTCCCCCTTGGGCTTGGTCTTTACCTGTTGAATGGGAGGGAGGAGGGAGGAAGGGCACAAATGGCCTACAGGTTCCTCTGATGCTTAGACCTCAGCTCCAAAAGTGTGTGATGCCGGCTGCGTCCCCTGGGGCAAGGGGCAGCACAGCTCCGACTCCCTCTGAGGGACTGTCCCTGAAATGGCCCTTGCCTCCCCTTCATTCCAGAAGCTCCCACATCTCCTTTTCTAGTGTGAGGACCAAATATCATTTCAGGAAAATGAGGGCCCAGGGCCAGGGCAGAAGAGCCCTAAGTGTAAGACAAGCTTTGCTTCTGGGGCAGGGTTCAGATCACCCACTGGGTGGGGCAGCCTCACCCTATAACACAGGGCTTCAGGCAGCTGCAGGGAATAACACGTGACCCCCCACCATCTGCCTCCAGGAGACAGCCTCTACTTCCTCCCTGGGGGAGGGCAAAACCATGCTCCCCCAGCCAGGGTGGACACTCTGGAGGGCACCTAGCCAGAGCCTTTGCCTGCCAGGCTCATGAGCACCTGGGTGTATGGTGAGTATGTCATTAGTAGCCCAGCGAGGAAGAGATCTTTGAAGTCACTTTGCAAAGGAGAAAATGGAGTCTCAGAAAAATAAAGGCATTTGTCCACTTCTTTATCAGCTAATAAGGTTAGAGACAGTCCTGGTCTGGCCCAGGGCCTTCCAGAACCAGTTTCAAACCCAGGCTTCCCCAAGCCTCAGCGTGGGTCCTCTCCAGGCCCTGCCCGCCCTGGGGAGGTCCCCTCTGTTGTGCTTGCCTCCTGCAGGTTGTGCTCAGGGGAGGACAGGGAGTGAGGAAACTCCCATTCCTCCCTCCCCACTCCTGGCCCACCCGCCCCGCCCCTCTTACCTGGTGCAACTGGGGGGTAGCCACCAGGAGGTGGGGGATAGCCTGGGTAGCTCATGGCTAAATCTGAAAGAGAAGAGAAAGCACACTCAGGTGTGTCCTGGGCGTCCTCACCAAGCAGGCTTGCTGGTCAGCTACGAGAGGTCAGCAGCCATGGCCACAGCTGCAGGAGTTGCATCAGGCTGGTGGCACAACCCAGCTTACTCGCTCCCTGTGGGGCCTCAGAGCTGGGCCTCAAGCTCGGACTGTGGGCCAGGCCCCGAGCCTAGGCCACAGGAAGACTCACCACCAGGAATCTTCTCAAATCCTGGACAGCCCTCTCACCCACATTTCCCTCCAGCCTCAGGGGACAAAGGTGCAGCGTGTGTCTGGACCTGTCCTCTGACCTCAAGTGACAGAGAAGAGGCCGTCTCCTTTTCAGGGCTCCAGGTCCAGGTGTCTTCCTCTTCCTGTGCCTTTATCACCATCCCTCCAGCAACAGGGGAAGTCAGGGGACCCCGTCTCCCTGTGGCCAGCCTACAACCCCCAGCTGTCCACTGCTACTCCCATCTTGGGTCTGACTGAGGCTACACCTTCCAGTTTCCAACCACTAGTTCATCAGGCAAGGGACCTGGCCAGTACAGAACTGTCCTTCCTAGAAACAGAAGGGCCCTGCACGGGGATTTTACCTGTTGTGGGGCCCAAAATCAGGGCAGAGGGGACAATGCCCTTCTGTTCATGATGATGAGGCCATTGCAGGTCACTTCGAGTAAGTGACTTACTTGCTGATAAGACAGTAAGGGGAGGAGAGAGTCTGGAACCCATGACAGCTGCAGGACACCTGTTCCCACAGTCCCTCCATACACAGATCCTTGGCAACACCCATTGCCTAGGAGGGACACAGATCAGCCGCCACACCAGCCACTCAAAAGACTCAGTTCCCCTTTATCCACTCTGAAGAACCAGACATGCTGTTTTTAAGGAACTGAAGGGCTCTCAAGGTGCCACGGGTCCCCAGAAGGCGATCCAGGTTCTCAGCCATTGGGTGTGGTCACTTGATTTGTTCAGTGGGTCCAGAAGTGACCAGAGGCAAAGCAATGGGAAGTCAGGTGGTGCTTTAGAGGTCTTGGAGAGAGCTGGAACTGCTATCTGCACCTTGGACAGACCACCCTTCCCCTTGCAGTTTACCATCTCTCTGAAGGGTCCAGATGACCCTTCCCCGTGCAGTTTACCATCTCTCTGAACATCTGGCCCATGCACTGCCTGGGGTATGGTATAAGTCATCACCCAGCAGCCAGGTGACCTATCAGCAGGAAGCCCCGCTGGTCCTGCCTTCAACCTGCTCCTTCAACCCAGATTCTGATGGGACCCTCAGGCCTCCCAGGGAGGAGGGAGCCTGGGTGGGGACAGTTGACCCAGGAACCTTCTGACTGTAAGGAGCTGCCTGCAGCAGGATGAGTTGCAATGGTCACTTGGCATCTGCCCCTCCAGAGACAGCACTGGACAGGACTTCAGGGCACCAAAGCACAACTGTATTCTTCTATTCCTCTTCCTTACACCAAATAAATGTTCACTAGGCTGGAGATTTAAACCGTAAGCAGCAGCCCCAAATCCCAAAGTCATAAAATAGAGCTTCTGCATTATCAGAAACAACCTAAAGACATAATAAATGATTAACTTATGGAGAAAGTTATACAATTAAAAAAGCCAGCTACTCAGGAGGCTGTGGTTTGAGTTCAAGGCCAGCATGGAAAACACAGGAGACCCCCATCTCAAAACAAAAAAGAAAAGACCAATAACCTTTAGAAAAACTGAAATGATGTGGATGAAACGTGTTCGCCTTCAAAAGGTGCTAAGAGAAGCACCAGTTAAAAATGCAGAGATACCAAAATTAAAAATGGCACCTGCTTTAACCCAGCAACTCCACTAGACATTTATCTCCCAGAAGCACTTGGCCCCGTAGGAAATGATGTAGGGCCATGGATTTACTGTGGTATTACCTGTTACAACAGAAAACCCCTCACCACCCAACATCTGGTCAAACATAAAACACAACAGAGTCCTACAACACACCCTTCAGATTTAGCCAGCTGTCTCTCTATGGGGATCATTTCATGTCCCCATTATTCACCAAGGTACAGGGCTATGTGTATACAAATTGGTAATAAAGAAACCAGAAACACACAAACTAAGTGATGCCCATAAGTACACGAGCCCAGACCACCTCTGGGGTGATGAACTAGACTCTGGGAACCCTGGTTGCCTCTGGAGGGGAAAGCGGGGGCTGGAAGTGAGGCTTGCTGTTCCCGCACGCGCCCTCTGCATTTCTGCCACACATGTACTACCCACCAAAACACAGCTTAACAAAGGGCTTAATGCAGGCGGGCACTTCTGACCACACATCAGGCCACTCTTTCCTGCCACACAGATTCATGGCTGTTCTTCCAAGATTAAAATAACTCACATAGGGACACTCAGACCTGGCATCAGGACTCCAGGCCTGTCAGCCACACAAAGGGGACGGGACGGCACTCAACTTCTGGGAGGACAACTATGGAGCCTCCTGGCAAGAGTCAAACCTGCCCCCTAGGAAGGGCCCTGCCCTGCAGTCCCTTATCCTTAGCCCTGCAGTCCCTCATCGGGGTCCTCTCTTCTCCCCAGGACACACCTCCCACCTTCCCCTCTCCTGAAAGAAGGATCTCCTTATTCCCAGTATTTTTTACCCAGAATAGTTTCAAGCCTGCTGCTCACTCACTCATCTGTCTCTGAGCTTTTCCCGGTGCAGTCTGCAGAGGCAGGGCAGGACATCTTGCTGCCTCCCCGTGGACAGAGCTGCACACCTCTCTGGATGGCCACGTATGGGTTTTTCTGGGTGATGGAGTCCGTACGGGATTCCTGTTAAATTTCCCTTGTAGATCCTGCCGTGGCTCCAGCCCACTGAGAAACCCTGCATCCTGACCCACATCACACCTCAGCTCTTGCTCCCTTCACTTCCCAGCTGCAGATCTGATGGGAGTGGCATCTGTGCTTTTCTTCCCAGGAACAGAGGCCAGCCACTTCCTGACCCATCATGCTGACAACTCCCTACCATGGTATCAGACACGGGGACCCAGTGCCCCCCTAAAGGTGTCACAACCCAGCCCACATCCCCACCACATTCAGATGAGGGCTGTAGCAGCTTATCTCTCTGACAGCCGCAGGAGAAGCAAGAGAAACATAAAGTGGCCGGATGGCCTGGGGTGGCCTTTAGGCCTCACCTTGGACCTCACCTTCTCCTCCCACCCATCTGGCCCCAGTCTGCATTTCAGAGGACAGCCACGGCACCATGAGCTCCAAGCAGCAGACCTGCCTGCTCTTCCACATTCATGAGGATCACTCTGCCTCCTGAACCTAGGCCTCTCTCCTGTCCTTGAGCAAAGAAAAAAGGTGCCTGGGGACTGGGGTGTGGCTCAGTGGTAGTGTGCTTGCCTAGCATGAGTGAGCCCTGGGGTTCAATCCCCAGTGTAAGGAGAACAAAGAGGAGGAGGAGGAGGGGTGGGGAAGAAAGGAAGGAGAGGAAGGTGCATGAACCTGGGGGCATGCTTCACATTACTGAGTGAGTCTGCCAGCTAGGGCATGTCCCTCCTTCTATATGCCCACATATGATCACAGCACCCAGACATGGGGCCTCACTGGAGAGGTTCTCCCACATACCAGGCAGCTGGCCTCTTGAGGCTGACCTCCAGCTTCAATTCTTTTTGTTTTTGGTCCTGGAGACCCAGAAGTTCTTTACCACTGAGCTACAGGCCCAGTCCTCTTTATTTATTTTTGAGAGAGAGTCTGGCTAAATTGCTGAGGCTGGCCTTGAACTTGTACTTCTCCTGCCTCAATCTCCTGAGTTGCTGAGATTACAGGTGTGGGCCAACATGCCTGGCAGAACTGCTCCAATTCTTAGAACCTGCCTCTGGGGAATCTCCAGCCTCTGGTCCAGACTCTCTGGAGGACCTTGCAGCACAAACACCCCCTTCCTTCCTGCAACTGTGTACTGATTTCATTAAGGTGTGGCCACTGTAGGTAAGAGTTTGCCTCAATAAAACAGTCCCCGGTGGGGCCTGTTACCGCCCCCCACCCGACTGCTGGGTCCCACTGCCATAATCCAGCATCGGCAAGTCTGGGGCAGGGCCCAAGAAGCTGCATGTGTGACATACTTCCATGTGATGCTGCTGGACCACAGGCCACACTTGGAGCAACACTGCTTTCCCATGTGTGAGCATCATCGGGAGAATTCGGGAAACACTGATGCCTCAGCGCCAGGCATGTGGGGCCCTTGAACCTGAGGTGGGCCCAAGGATATGAAATGTAAACATGCACACACCAACCCGAGGCCCCAGGATTCTGATGAATTGGTTCTGTGGTCCACATGCTGGAAAATGCTCCTTCCTTCAAGGTACCTGGCCTTTCTGGCCTGTACCACCTGCTTTCCCTTCCAGCAGCAGACTGAGAAGACGCATCCCAACAGAACTAAACTCCAGGGCACTCGTGAATGTTGAAGGAAAGAGCTGGGGGCGTCGAAGGGACTAGCAAAGAGCCTGTTCTCTGCAGCTGTGAATAGGTGCTCAAGTACACCAGTAAATTTCAAGGGCCCCACACGGACACTCGCCAGTCCTCACACACAGAAAGCCAGAAACGCATGTTGTGCGGGAGGCTGAACCACCCAGAGAGAGTTTGCTTTCCACTCCTGGCTGTCCCCTGCACAATGGGGAGATGGACACCAGGCCTCCAGCCAGCAGCAGGGCTGGCCTGTGCACATCGTGTGGTGGCAGTATAGAGATGGCCTGCCTGGAGGAGACACAAAGGCTCACACAGGACAGAGCCTGCACTGGGTTAATGCTGAGAGGCCTGGACAGACGAGAAGGGATGCCTTCCTGGGATGACCCTCCACTGACCTTCCTGGGCCTGTGGGAATATTCATTTATCCATTTGTTTTTTAAATATTGAATCTTTAACCTGCTTTTACACAAAACTTAAATATAGATAGTTCAAACCATAATGTTCTGATAATCCTCAATGCTCTGTTCTGTAAAAGAAAAGGAACAGCACACACCCCC